GGATTTCTCAAATATGTGTTGATGCACCCCCACTTATATGACATGCCTCTCCTTCAAGCAATCTAAGGTAAAAGTTGATTGGCATGACATACATCCTTGCTAAGGACATGTTTAGTGCATCTAGTCATTTCTCACATTTTATTAGGCTCATTCATGAAAATCAAATGAATTTAATGATTGTATAGTACCACTATTGCTTCTATGCTTAATTTGATCTAGTGGTAGCATATGACATGTTTATGGGCTTATAAACCTAGTGTTTGATCTAGAAAATAAGCTCTAATTGTTTAACTCAACATGGTACAAGATAACCCTTATTTGGAGGTGTGAAGAAGCTTGTCCTTGGATTAAACCGAGTTAAATATCTTTGGCAAATGATCTAGATTGAACCAAATTTAGGAAAATGATCCTCACCCCATTGATTGACATTGATAATCTCAACCTATCTACATTTTAAACCTTTGTGGTCATTGATGACAAAGGGGGAGAAAAACAAAGATATTAGTGATATTAGTACATGGGGAGAAAAATAAAAGATATATTAGTGTACTAAGACAGTGAAAAGACAACAAAGGGGAAGAACTTGACATAGGGGGAGAGATTTGACAAAGGAAATGGATCAATTCAAATTTTGAGCACACAAGTAGGGGGAGCAAGCTCATGAACTTGTATGGTGCATTTGAATGTGCATTTCATATGTTTGCTTGCATGGCACAAGTTTTAAAATTTCAATATCCATGCTTGTGTGGTGTATGCTAGTTGTAGAATTGAATGATGAAATGAAAAACTAGCATGCATAGGATATCTATTGATTTCATTTTCAAGTGTTTCCAAGTGGTATTAAGCTAACCATGGTGCTAGGATGGTATAATGGTGCACTCCGATTGGTATCACGCTTCAAAGGTCCATCTTTTATACCTTAGCATCATTTGGTAGACATTATCTCCTATATTTCCTATCTAAGCATATGTGCAAGTTACAATCCAAACTCTTAGCACATATGTAGGGGGAGCAATTGCTACCGTTTGGGGTTCATGAAACTTGTCCATATCCTTTTACAAATGGTAAAAATGCTTGGACAAGCAACATGGATTTAATTGAATTTCAATTCATATATTTGTGAAAGGGTTGTCATCAATTACCAAAAAGGGAGAGATTGAAAGCTCTAGTTTGATTTTGGTGAATTGATGAAACCCTAAGTGCTAACCTAGTTTATCAAGTGATCATGATATAGGTAGCACACTCTAAGTGGTGAAGCAAATGAAGATCATAACATGTTGATGGTGATGCCATGGTGATGATCAAGTGCTCGGACTTGGAAAGAAGAAAAAGAAAAACAAAAGGCTCAAGGCAAAGGTATAAATTGTAGGAGCCATTTTGTTTTGGTGATCAAGACACTTAGTGAGTGTGATCATATTTAGGATCGATAGCCGTACTATTAAGAGGGGTGAAACTTGTATCGAAATGTGGTTATCAAAGTGCCACTAGATGCTCTAACTCATTGCATATGCATTTAGGATCTAGTGGAAAGCTAACACCATTGAAAATATTTGTGAAAATATGCTAACACATGTGCACAAGGTGATACACTTGGTGGTTAGCACATTTGATCAAGGGTGGTGAAGTTTGGGTGCAAGGGTAAGAAACTCCACTGGCAGAGTGTCCGCTCGTAGAGTGCGGACAGTCCGACGGTGCCACCGACGCCCTAGACAGAAAAGACGGAGGTCACTGTAAGTGACCGGACGCTGGTCTCGATTGGACCGGCGCGTCCAGTCAGTGGCAGCAGAAGGCGTGCGTTTCGGTCTCATGACCGGATGCTGGGTCGCTCAGCAACCGGACGCTGGCGGGGTGCGTCCGGTCAGTGCTGACGTACGCTGATGTAGGGCGTACAGAGAAGACGTTGTGTGACCAGACGCCGGTCAGAAAAAATCGCGTTTGAAACCTTACTGGAAGCGACCGGACGCTGAGGTCCAGCGTCCGGTCACTTTCTAACTGACGTGTCCGGTCAGCAGACGACCGTTGAAATCTGACGAACAATATTTGAAGCAGGGGACACGTGGCGTGAATCACATGACCGAATGCTAAGGGCGAGCGTCCGGTCAATATGACCTGAGCGTCCGGTCACCCCGTGTTATGCCTAGTGAAGGGGTACAACGACTTTATTTCGTGGGGGCTTCTATTTAAGCCCCATGGCCGGCTCAAGCTCACTCTCTTGGCCATTTGCATTGATATAGCAACCTTGTGAGCTTAGCCAAAGCCCTCCCACTCATCTCCATCATTGATTCATCATCATAGTGAGTTTGGGAGTGATCCAAGTGCATTGCTTGAGTGTTTGCATCTAGAGGCACTTGGTGTTCGTGTTTTGCTGCGGGATTCGCTTGTTACTCTTAGTGGTTGCCGCCACCTAGCCGGCTTGGAGCAACAAGGATCGTTGAGCGGAGGGTGGTGATTGTCTCCGGCTCCGATCGTGGTGATTGTGAGGGGTTCTTGACCTTTCCCTAGCGGAGAGCCAAAAGGTACTCTAGTGGATTGCTCGTGGCTTGTGTGATCCTCATCTTGTGTTGGTTGTGCGGCACCCTATTGAGGGTTTGGCGTGTGAAGCCAATTAGCGCGTGAACCTCCAAGTGAGTGTATCGCCACAACGAGGAGTAGCTTGTCGGCAAGCAAGTGAACCTCGGTAAAAATCATTGTGTTCATCATTTGATTTCGAGGTGATTGATCTTCATTGTTATTCATCTTTGTGATTGATTGGCTCCTTTCTCGACACGGCGGTATAACCTTCTTGATCACTCTCTTTACATTACCGTAAACTAGTTGTCAAGCTCTTTAGTGTAGATAGTTGTGAGAGCTTGCTTGCTTGGTTGGTGTGGCTCTTTAGCTAGCCTTTGAGAGCACACTAACATAGAGTAGTGTCATAGCTATTGTGTGAATAGATTCTACCTAAACTAGAATTGTGGTAGGTGGCTTGCATTTTTGAGTAGGCTAGCGTAAAACTCGCTTCGCCTCATAATTATCTAATCCTTTTGTTAAGTGTTGTTGTAGAAATTTTTATTAGGCTATTCACCCCCCCTCTAGCCATTAGGACCTTTCACATGCCTGGGCCGGCACTCGGGCATCGCGAACCGACGTCCCGACCCATATGAGTCCTACCGGGCATCCAACGTCTAGTAGGTATTGAGATGCTGCAATGCCTGCCAGTTCAACAGACATGAGGCCCTGTCGGACACTCCATCGACAGGTTCATGAAAACGGCGTGACACAACAAGACAAGGGACTTCACTAGCTCCAAGGGCGAAGGGCTCTAGGGCCCACTCGTCAGCCCCTCAGGTGAGAGCTCCTTCATAACCAAGGAAGCATCAAGAAGGTTCACCCGGGGAAGGCCGCTTCGCAGCAGACAGCCCCTGATGATCAAGGACCTGAACTGTGGCATCGGCGTCACTAGGCGTTTGTGACTCTATCGACTCCTCCCTACGCGACAAGATGAGGTCCATCCACGATGCAGCACCACCCGCACCAGGCGTATATAGACTATATACTCGAATCCAAACCGACTTGTACCCGACCCCCCTCGAGATATACGGGAAGGATCAGCTCCCATAGAGGGGAATCCTGATTTCAAGACACAGACAGAGAGAGCTCTCGAGCGAAGAGAAGTGAGCGATCCCCACGCAAAACTAGCTAGAGAAGGTTGGTTTCTTACTCGCACCGAGCAATCCCCTACCAAACTCTCGATCTCCATCATTGTAATCGACGTGTGGGCACTCCTTAACACAAAGAACACTACACTGCTGGAGTCCGAGATGGACTTAGACTTGACATGGATTGAGCCTCCAATTTGACTTGAACATCCATGCTGGCCTCCTAAGGTGGTGGCCAGGGAGGGGGCGTTCAAGGGCTTCTTTGGTGTGCTCTCCATCTCCTTGAGGCGTGCTCAAACTTGGACTAGGGTCCAAGGGGCCAAGGGTGAACATCAAGCCCATGACGTCGACACAGCTCTCGGCAAAAAACAAAGACAACTTATCATGATGGTTTGGAGGCCTTGCCCATGTGACCTTGAGGTCAAACCAGATCCCATCAAGTGGTCATCGACCTCAAACTCGGTCCAGACAGAGGAGTTATAGCTTTTCCAATAAAATAATGTAGGGTCATCGATGAACTCAAAGTTTAAATTTGATGGACTTGTACTTTGAGATTGGTCTTGTTCGTAGCATATCTATTCTCTATCATCATCACCATTGTTCCTAATCATATTGAAACACCAATATTAGGTAGCAATCAATTCTTAGTTTTATCATTATACAAATATAGGACGAGCTCACCTTATAATCAATGGTTACGTTATGTCGTTATCAATCGGCTTATCTCCTTTCATATGTAACACTTTTGTGATGTTTTGGACTATCCAAAATGTTGACCAAATCATAATGCCTTACAATTTTGATGTTCTTTTAATCCTTTCTTGAAAAAAATGACCGAGTTCCCGTTTTGCCCCGTGAGTCCATCCCCGCCCCGTTGGAGCGCCCGCTGAGTCTCTCCTATCGAGTCTCCTCTCGTTCTTCAGCAGGGCCCGGCTGGAGCGCCCGCCCCGCCTCCAGCCCAGGCCCAGCGGCGCCGCCGCGCCGCCCACAGCCCCAGCGCCGCCTCCAGTCGTGAGCGCGGAGAGGAGTGAGCGGGCCTCCGGGGCGAGCGCCACGCGCAGACGGCGGTTGAGGAGCCTGAGAAAACCCCGGTCCTCCTTCAAGATCCTGGTGGGTTGCGCCCGGCGCCGCGAAATTCCCTGATGTCTATGTAGGTTCGTCCTAAAGATTCGATATTGTTGGCCCTTTTGATCCGACGCAGATCCGTACGGTCCTCGGCTGATTCTGCAATTCCGGCGGCAGGAGGCTTGCTCTTGCTGCTTTTGGATTGGTGTCTCTTCCCATGGGCTCTTGCAGGTGTAGGAGGGTGTATTCCGTCTGATTCATCTGCGGAGAGCAAGCGGGTGCTGCGGCTACGCGAGCATGGCCGGCGAGGAGGCTCCGGAGGGCAGCGGGACCAGGAGGCGCATGGATCTAAACCTGTATCTTGGCCTCCCTCCATTGCCGCGGCCTCCAGTCTGGCTGTACACAACAATGATTTCCCCGACGTTGATGCCCCACTCGACTGGTGCTGCGCTGGAAGCCCCAAGAACGGGCGAGCCTGAGGAATCGCTCGCCCCGGCGGCGGCGGCCTATTCGCCATCCAATGCGCTTTCCACCCCGGAGGAGCACCCAATGCTTGATCCTATAGTATATTCCTGGCTCGACGGCAACACTACCGATGGTGAAGAGGACACTGATGCTCCTGAGCTGGGGCCAGTCGATGGTGCCAATGTCTCTAGGTCGCAGCTTCTGGTAGCTGCCACTGGGTTGGAAGGGGATGATCTTCCTTTAGTAAGGTTTGTGCGCCCTAGTCGGGTAGCTGCTGGTGGAATGGAGATGAACACAAGTATACTTCGGCGGTCCAGTCAAGGGGCTGCTGCAATTGAGGCCGGGACTCCTGAGCTTCGCTTTCAGAGGGTGATACAGATTAGCCAGCAGCACAGCATTGTGAGGCCAGCATCAGCGAACCGCAGTCAAGGGGCAGCTAGTACAGATGCGGATAGGCTTGTCTGGGCAATCCAGCGCACTCATAACTCTTTAGAAGCAGCAAGGCGGCAAAAGCTAGATGGCGACAAGGTGTGTGGAAACGGTGCTGCTAAGAAGGATGGGTCCTGTGACTGCAACTCCAGCTTTGAGTGTAATATCTGTCTTGACCCAGCTAAAGAGCCCGTGGTTACACCCTGCGGTCACCTCTTCTGTTGGCCATGCTTGTACCAGTGGCTTCATGCACATTCACCCCACTCTGAGTGCCCTGTATGCAAGGGTGAGGTGCTAGAAGTGAATGTCACTCCGATATATGGAAGAGGCGGTGAAGAAGGGGATTCCACCAACCCTGACTTGCCACCCAGGCCACGAGCAAACAGAAGGGAGAGCCTGAGGCAACAGCTGCAAATGGCAGACACAAGAGGAATTGCAACAGTGGTGAGGCAGTTGATACAAAACCAGGGTATAGTTAGAGGCCTCCCAAGCCCAACAGGGATCGAAATGAATGTCGTTCCTGCAGGCCGGCAAAGGGCTAGGGCTCGGAGACAGCAAAGGCAGGATAGTAATGCATCGCCTTCCATACATGTTGTAGCGCAGAATATGGGCAATGTTGCCTCTGAGAGCAGCAATCAAATTCAGTTGCCACATTCTAATGGCGACAATGCTGCACAGATGGTTCTTGCAGCTCCTCAGCAGTCATTGTCTGTCGAACAGCTGTCAACTTCTAGCACCACAGCTGTTATAGTGGGCGAGCCTGGGTCAAGTAGGCGGTCAAGGCCTTCGGAGTCCCCAACCATAAGAAGAACAAGGAGGAGGCCGCAGTAGGTACCAGAGTGTTGTCACTCCCTTCAATAAAACCTACAGATCATGTCCCAGTGTTAGTTATTACCATGATTAGCTCCAATAACATTTCAAGGTTAATAATAATGTAGGAATGTATATGCCATCACTTGTTCCCACCTTTCTCTTACATACCATGTATCATGTATGCAGCTTCATCATGGAGTCAAAATCTCAGTTCCAGTATCTATGATAATCTTGATCTTTTGTATACTCGGAATGTATTTTCTGATTTAGTCTCTGTTCTGGTATGATATGTCATTATAAATTCCCTGAGGCCTTGTTTGGATGGAGTCGGATTCGCATCAAACTACATGTGTTGGGGTGGATTGGAGTGGAACTTGAACTAAATTCCACCCAATTCACCCCAACACATGAGGATTGAGGTGAATCTGACAACACCCATATAAGGCCTGATGTGGGCATTCCTGAGTTTTCAACATAGTTATTCATCATTGCAAGCATGGGAGTAGGTGTATTTGGGTGTGTATTCATGGGCATTTTGCCAGATGGTCGCCCAGTCGCTGTCAAGAAGCTCAAGATTGGGAATGGGCAAGGTGTGTGTGCGTTCAAGGCTGAGGTCGATACTATCAGCAGAAGTACAACAACAACAACAACAAAGCCTTTAAGTCCCAAACAAGTTAGGGTAGGCTAGAGTTGAAACCCAGCAGAAGCCATCAAGGTTCAGGCACGTGAATAGCTGTTTTCCAAGCACTCCTATCTAAGGCTAAGTCTTTGGGTATATTCCATCCTTTCAAGTCTTCTTTTATTGCCTCTACCCAAGTCAACTTCGGTCTTCCTCTGTCTCTCTTCACGTTACTATCCTGGCTTAGGATTCTACTACACACTGGTGCCTCCGGAGGTCTCCGTTGGACATGTCCAAACCATCTCAACCGGTGTTGGATAAGCTTTTCTTCAATTGGTGCTACCCCTAATCTATCACGTATATCATCGTTCCGAACTCGATCCCTTCTTGTATGACCGCAAATCCAACGCAACATACGCATTTCCGCGACACTTATCTGTTGAACATGTCGTCTTTTCGTAGGCCAACATTCTGCACCATACAACATAGCAGGTCTAATCGTCGTCCTATAAAACTTGCCTTTTAGCTTCTGTTGTACCATTTTGTCACATAGGACACCAGATGCTTGGTGCCACTTCATCCATCATGCTTTGATTCTATGGCTAACATCTTCATCAATATCCCCGTCTCTCTGTAGCATTGATCCTAAATATCGAAAGGTATCCTTCTTAGGCAGTACTTGACCTTCCAAACTAATATCTTCCTCCTCCTGAGTAGTAGTGCTGAAGTCACATCTCATATACTCAGTTTTAGTTTTAATGAGTCTAAAACCTTTGGACTCCAAAGTCTCCTGCCATAACTCATTTGGTTTCGCTTTTTGCATTGCAGATGGCCAGCGAATGCTTGTTTATGATTTTGTTCCCAACATTTTTCTTTCAGTTATATTATTTTCTAACGTTTATTTAATGCCAGTTTCATGAGAACACTCTAATTATTCATCACTTACATGATCATTAACTTGACCAGTCAAAACTGCAGTAAGTGAAGCAGCACTGGATTGGTGGACAAGGGTTAAGATTGCAACTGGAGCAGCGTGAGGGATTGGTTACCTCCATGAAGATTGTAATATTCTTACTAAATTATTCTCCTGCGACATTGGATAGTTTTCTTAGTATTTGTCTGTTTTTGTTCATTAGGTCATCCACGTATTATTCATAGGGATATTAAATCATCCAATATTTTATTGTATAACAATTTTGAAGCTCAGGTATGATGTGATTTGGTGTATAAGTCTAGAGGTCAATATTTTGGTATGATATTGTGATCATAATTATTGTCTAAATTTTTTATACTCTATTGAAACTATCCAGGTTTCTGATTTTGGACTTACAAGGTTAGCGGCTGCTTACAATACACATGTCACCACACGTATAATGGGGACATTTGGGTAAGTACTATGTAATGAAGCAAATTCGCACCATCTTGCAATTTTCAGAGTTTATTGGCTAATCTATGCTCAATATCTAGTCTAGTTTATATTAGAGCTTACATGATTTATCCTCTCCAGCAATGTTTTTAAGGCGGTAAGGCGAGGCGTGGCGAGTGACTACCGCCTTACGCTTAGGCGACTAAAGCGTGAGGCAAGGCGACGCCTTATGAATTTAAAAAAAATTAAAACAGAAACTCAGAGCAGTAGATGATGAAGAAAAAAGAAAAAGAAAAAAGAAAAAGAAAGGAGGAGTAAGAAGTGGGCTGGCCTAGCCCACCAGGCGGCCCATGTGCCCATCCCCCTCCAGGCATGGCTTATCCCAAACCCTCCACCGCTGCTCCTCTCGTTCTCTACTCTCCACCACTCGTTACGCCTCGTCTCCCTCTCCACGGCTCCACCCCTCTCTTTCTCCGGATGCGCTCCTCTGCTCCCCTCTCTCCGGCGCTGCTCTGCTCCCCTCCCTCGCTACTCCCCTTCCAGATCTACAGCCGCTGCCGTCCCCTTCCAGATCGAGCATATGGTGGCGGAATGGAGCAGAGGACGGCGAGGAGGCGGCAGAATCGAGCGGAATCGACGAGGAGACGGCGGAATCGAGGGAGCATCAGCTTGAGCATAAGGCGACAAGGCGCCGCCTTACCCCTAAGGCGAGCCTGGAGCGCCCCGACGCCTAAGCGTCGCTTAAGCGACGATTAGGCGACACCTTGAAAACACTGCTCTCCAGGTATTTGGCTCCAGAGTATGCATTGTCAAGCAAGTTAACAGCAAGTCTGATGTGTATTCTTTTGGGGTAGTTCTTTTGGAGCTTATTACAGGAAGAAAACCTGTTGATGCTTCTCAGCCATTGGGAGATGAAAGTCTGGTCGAATGGGTGAGTTCATTTTTTTATAAAATGTGGAATACTGCATGTCACTAATGTTAGGTACTAAAGTATGTGTAGATTTTCTTATTTTTAACCAGTAACCATAGTCATGAGATTTAGATCCAGACCATTTCGTGAAACTTCAATGGGTGTGTCAGACTTCTTCATGCTTTGACTGTTGATTTCCTGTTCCACAGTCTGTCGACCAATATCCATTAAGTTGACGTGGAATGCCTCAAAATTCGAGTTCTATCATGCAGTACCTAATTCCTTGCTGATGCTTTCACTAGTTTAATCTTTTCCCTTAAAATCTGAACGGCCCTTATATTTCTTCGATGACATGGGCATTGCTCCTGGTTGTTGCTGTCCATAAGATGTTTAATTCTTCCACTGGTCCCATTTGCATAGCATGTCAACCAAGAGATGAATAGTGATCCAGAGGGAACCCAGTTGCTAAGGGCCCCTTTGGATTGCATGATAGGTAAAGGATAGGAAAAGGAAAAACTCAGGAATTGAGATCACATTATTTCTCAATCCTATGGAATTGAAAACAAAGGAAAGTTACATGAGATGCCGTTTGGCAAGGGCTCAGGTGAAACACAGGAAATGGCAGCTGCACCCAGTTTTTAAAATCTGAACTGCACAGCATTGAAAGCAAAGCTAGCCGTTACACACATGTGCTAGCCGTTACTAACAAGTGCCAAACTGCCTATACACACACATGTTCTTTGCTGATCTGCAATCCGTAGAAGCCCCAAGCCCACAACACCATCAGGTCCTCTCCAAGCATTCAGTTCTTTGCTGGTCTGCAATCGTTAGTAGCCCCAACACCATCAGGTTAGCTCCAAGCACATCAAGAGATCTGCATACAAATGCAGCCTTCTCATTTGCATCCTGAAGAGACCAAGTAGCTCATCTCCACATCTGCTCAGTCACAAAACACCACAAGAAAGACTTCTTCACATACAGCTAGCTCCTCTCCAAATCTGGTCGGTGATAAAGCAGGGCAAGAGATCTGAGTGGCACAGACACTTCAGTTGGTAAGTCACAAGTCTCATAACTGAACTTCAATTTCTGCAAATATATATGAACTTTTATTTATGTACAGATGGACAACTTAGTTCCTTGTTTGGTCTCTACTATATATTAAGTGTAAACATCTGTAAAGTGAACCTGCAACATATTTGAGTATCCCTAGTTGGTTTTCCATTGTGTTAGTCATGGATCCAAACTATCGACGACGATCACAAAATGAAGATGAGTTCATGTTGTTTGTTCTCCCTACAATACAAGATTCATCACAGCCATCATCTAGTAAGAATCTCATACATACATCAAAACTGTCAGGAGCTGAGCGTGTTCATGAAATCTTAACAGGCCACGAGAGCCTAAGTAAAAGGAACTTCCGAATGGAAGTTAGTGTTTTCCAAGCTTTGGTCAATAAGTTGCGTGAGAAGCAACCACTTGTTGCTGCGCCACTTGTCTGCTCGCCGCATCCATCCCCCACCCCCAAATCCTCCTCTTCCATGGCTACAACCTGCGAGCGGCGAGACCCTGCGGCAGCCTGCGGGCTACGGCGCGCAGCAAAGCTGGGGCTGCGGCGAGCGGCGCGCCGGCAGCAGCTGCCGCTGGGGCCTCGGCCCTCGGGATGCCGTGCGGTTGCATGGGGAGGTCCGCCTCCGACTCAAGTTTTAGATGGGGAAAAGTACTTGCAGGCAGATGGGGGAAAAGGAAAGTACCTGGACGACGGAGGAACACGCGGATGCATGGATCCGTACGGCGTTGTGGCTGCGAGTGCTGGACTAGGTGGCCGGGGATGGGGTCCGCGGATTCGGTCGCCGACGTTATGGTAGGCCGACTCGATGGTGGGCGATGGGGGGGGGGGGGGCTCGCGCCGTCTCGTGCAGCGGTGATGGGGCGGGCGGCGCGTGCACCGACTACGGGTGTCCGTCGGCCGTCGCGTACGACGGTGATGGGGGCGGCCGCTGTCGTCGCCCACGATGGGGAAGGGCCTTTTGTTTTGCTTGACCGGGCTGACGTCCTTATCTAAACACAAGGGCCAAGCGATAATAGCGAGCGAGGCGCGCAAGGCGACTTTTTTCGCGCCAGGAAAATTTCCAAGAGCTCCGAGCTCATGCTTCGTTTCCTGTAAAATAGGCCATAGGAATGGAATCCTAAGGATTTGTTCCTTTACTTTCCCTGTGAACCAAAGAGCCACATAGGAAACAATCCTTAGGAAACTCAATCCTCCAAAATTCCTCTATTTCCCCAAAGTTATAGGACTGTAGCTTTTATAATGTGGGCAACCAGATTATTGTTCCAGAGTGGCACACAAAAGGTGGCTAGAGTACTTAGGGACTTATTTATTGCAGTCTTCATACTGTGGTTTGGCATGAAAGAAGCTCAGATGGGAACTTAGCAATGACTCAACAGCTTGATGCAGGACCAAAGCAAAAAACCAGTTATAACTGTTGCAATCATGAAAGGAGCTGACACATTACATAAATGACACCTAAATTGATTGGAACACATTCCCTGTGGCTATTGTCTGGAGTTAGGGGTGTCATGCTGTCTCCATGTATTGTGTATCTGTGTGCATGATAAAAACATGCTGGTGATGCTAATTCATAGTTGTTTGAAATAGTTGGAAAGTCTAGTTGTTTCAAATAGTTGTAAAGTCGCTATATCTTTGACAGTGAAGAATACGAATGCCATATCCAATCAGTGAGATCAGTTGTAACAGATATCGTGTGATCTTAATTCAAAACTTGGCGCTGAGGCCAATGAAATCCTCACGAGGCTGCTGGATTTGGGGGTCACGAGGCTGAAGCGCGAGGTCGAAAGTGGAGGGGAGGCAGGCGCTAGTGCCGAGGAGGCCCCCGTTTCCGAGAAGGATCTGAGGGAGCTCTGGGGAGTGTTTCTCGACAATGCCCTTGACGCATTGTGCATAGGCGTCTCGAGGCAGATCCCCTTGGACGTGGGTTTCAGCGCGGATGTACTCCTATGGCTGTGGCGGGATGTGCAGCTTGCCCATTTGGACGCCGTGAAGACACTTGTCGCGGAAGGTGATCTTGATGGTGCTGCTGGCCATCTCCAGTTTCTTTGCCTTGGTCATGGACTGGAGGAGGATGAGTACAGTAAGCTGTAAGTATTAATGGATGGCACATCTTTGTTTAGTACTATTTCAACATATGATAGCCAGGGACATTAGCTAGAGTTGCAACCTGAGCCATTTAATAAACATGCCGAATCATTTGTGGAATGGTAAGGCCAGTAGTAGCATTCAGTTATAGTCAGTGTCGTATAATTTAGTTGGTCTGTATTTAATGTAGTTTTATGGCCCGTAGTAGCAGCATATGCAAACTGGTAACGGTTAGCTCTTTGCAGAGCAGGATTATGTAATCGATTGTATGTTTTGAGATAGCACCATCATACTCAAGTTCCTGTTTTTGGATCAAACATGTTCAATTCATTCCAGAATAACACATGCAAACACTCAACTTATATTATGCATATTGGTTTCAGTTTGGTTCTGGATCTGGAATATGAATTGTCATGTGGGATCGCCACTACCAGCGAAGGAACCGCAACCGGGACTCGGCCAGGGGTGCGGTCACACAGTGCGCCAACACGCGGGAGGAGCGCGGCCACTCAGCACACGACACACGGGAGGCGCGCGGCCATGATCTCCACTCGGTGCACGATCACCGCGGCGTGGCTGAAGACGCGTAGGTGCACAAGCCGTGGCCAGGAGTTCTCCCTTGGCATGGTTTGCTTATTTCTATGATTGTATGCAAACTCTGGAGGGAAACAAGTTATCTTACAATCCTATTTCCCTATCCAGTTCTCTCTCAATCTCATCCCCTTCAATCAATCGGGTGCTGAGGGGTAAAACCTCGCCCCAGTTACCACGGATCGAGGCTACGAACTATGTAGCCGAGGTTCAGCTAACCTGTCCCTCGACGCCCTTGACATGAATACATTCAATAAATTGACATGAATACATTCAATAAATTACTGAAATTGACTGCTTACAGGGTTGTCATAGCAGAGCTTCTCAGAAAGGGATGGGCAAAAGCTTTATGGAGGAGCTTGGTCTGAGTTGGAGGATAGAATAACTAAATTATATGGAGCAGCTATTCAGTCTACTAGTCCCCAGCTCGTGCAACTCGTTCAGGTAATTACAAAATTCTCCTTTTTTCTTGCTGCCATTCTTCTTTCATTTAAATCAACTATGACTTCTCTGTGACTCTGCCTGTTGATTTTTTGTTTCCATCTTTTCCTTTACTGGTTGAGAACCTGCACCTCATGTCACTATGTCAGATAACCATGCTGTTCTCCCTTTTGTAGTGGAAGTTTGAGAACATTTTCATTCGCAGAAATTTTAGTCCTTCAATGTTGCGTATCCTGAATTTATTTGCATTTTAGGCCAAAGATTTACAGATGGCTACAGCTTGAATTTATTCATTGAACATTACAGCACCTGACATAATTGCAATGTTTACCTTCTGGATTACATTTTTTTGCATGCTTTGTCTTGGATAGTGCTAATTGTTCGTATTGTTTCTAGCTCAGTCTGGATAACATCCTTTCTGAAGAAATTGAAGATCATGATGTCTCTGATGCTAATGGGATGCCACTTCCTTTCAAAAGATTTCTTGAAACATTGTTGTGGAGAGGGATACTAACTCAGATGACAAGATCTTGTTGGACTCAGCTATAACATCCTGCAAAAAAGATTTGTACCATTATTGCCGACTGTCTGGGAAGCATATGCTTGTAGTCTTGTAAACTGCTCTATCATGAATTAAGAGGGAACAGCTTCAAGAGGCTGTTGACGTAGTAGCAAAATATTTGGTGGAAATTCAAAAAAAAAAACTTGGCACATCCATAGTGCATACAAATACTGGTCACACGAAAAAGTTGAGGTGCAAACTCAAACTAGAAAAATCATACAAAAATGACAAAATATAAGGTTCATGTGCACCAAAAGACAAAATATATAAATTTTGTCTTTTAGTGCATATGAACCTAAAATATGTCATTTTTGTATGAATTTTTCAAATACGAGTGTGAATTCTATCCTTTTCATGTGAGTCCATATTTGTATGGACTATGGATTTGCCAAGTTTCAAATTTTTTGAGCGACGGAAATACATTTTTTTAAATTGGTTTCTATGTTTCCGTCAAGTAGGTGGTTTTCATCATATTTTGTCATGGTTTCCAGCATATATCAATAGTTCTTACCGATCTGCTGGATCCTAGACCTATAGGGTGGGGAAAAAAATAGACATGGATTTGTTTGTATCATAAAATATGAAGGTCCCATTTGAATCAACCCAACTAACTATTACATATGTTAGCTAGAAGAAATAAGCTCATAGCTAATTGTTAGCCGGTGGTGGTAGGTAAGACATTAGTTGAGGACGTAAATAGGTCTTCAACTAATATTTTTAACTGTTAGTTTTAGGGATCAAATAGGACCGAAAGTTATGGAGATGATTTAATGACATGGATCGTGCTTCTGTGCAGGGACTAGGGAGAGTTCTTGCGAAATTTAGTTAGTTAATGGATAACGAGTAATAGTCCATCCATCTGTCAAAACGAAGCTAACATAGAATCCAATCTCCCTTTCTTGCAGCAGGAGCTTACAACTGACAGAAATCTGACAACAGCAGAACAGAAACTAGAAAAATTACAGATAGCTAGGTTTCCACTGTGGCGTTGTCTCTGCCCTGTTTGTTTGGTTGCTGATTTGTTGTGAGAGAAAAATAATGTTCGTTGGACTGAAAAAGTACGGCTCGCTCATGTGCCGTGGGCCCCTGCCCAGACTGGAAGTACGCTGGTGCTGTGAGCCTGTGGATCGCGTCACACAGTGCCCAATTTGGGCAGTGCCGAGCGTCCGTTGCACTGCGAATCCGGCAAGCTTGCAGACTGTTAAGTGTTATGAAGATCCGAAAACAGAAAGCTCCATTCATTTCTTAAATGAATATATATGTGTCGAGAGGTTCAGCACATAAATGCGGTTTAACCATGATTCTCAGTGAAGTCTATATTTCCAACAAACATGGACTCTGTTTTTTTTACGTAGCAGGACTCCAGGAGCAAGGTACAGATAAAAGCAGCAGCACAAGCAATGTTGCTTTGCAAAATCGTTCACCATATTTCCATTCCACGTAATGATTTCAGCGGTTTGTAAGTTCTGAAACTGAAAGGCCAACTCAAACCGCTTCCGGTCAGCAGAATACTGTCAAATCCAACGACCAAATTCACAAGAGTTGCTGGGCTTTCTGAACAAAAGAAGATAAACTGATTTCAATTTTCTTTTATCCGGAGTACTGGGCCTTCTGATTTCTGAAGAGATGAACTGCGAAGTTATTGTGAGAAGTTACCCTCGTAGTCCTCTAAGGTACTTCTGCATCAGCAGCTGGTGCTTCTGCATCAACATCTGGGTACACTAGCGCTGCAGCACCTGAATTATCAAAGGAACAAGCAAAACACCAGTTATAATTAGGAACCATGTTATGGGTAGTATTTTAACACTTTCACTTTTGTCAACAAAAAAAAAAAAACGAAATGAAAAGGGAGGCAGGCAATCAGTTACAAGATCAGCTCTCCTCAGTATTGGCTAACAACTGAATTTTCTGAACTAAAGATAGTATCATTGGAGCTAATGAATTTTCTGAAATAAAGATCAGATCTGAGATTGTTTCCATTCAGTTGCTTCTGATCATCTGTACCATGTTTCCTACTAGTTGTATCCAAACAAGTAAACCATTTTCTCATTCGCAAGTCTGCAATTGAGGATAGTACATACAGAAACTAAAAAGAAACAAAATTGCAGAAGTAGTTTGAGCATGTGAGCACACAGTGTGCAAGTTACATTTTCTGTTGTCATAAGTATGGAGATATTTTTACTGATGGCTGTGCATAGCAAATTCAGAACTACTGTGAGTTACGATGATCCAGTTGCAGAGTATGCAAGGTATGATCTATTGCGAATATCAACTTTACCTCACGGACCATTTGCAATGTCCTCACCTGGGGAAAGCGAAACTACAAAGTTAGTTCTCACCTGGTGAGCCTTTGGTGAGGGCGACGATATTCATGGGCTGCACTTGAGAAGGGAGCAGGTCGATGACCAGAGGGGTTCGCCGCGCGTCGTGGCCGGCCTTCACGCACAACACGAAGTGGTTGGCATCCCTATGGCCCTCACGGAACGCCACCCGGGCCATCATGCTGAACACCGACCGGCCGGAGAACATGAAGTTGTCCCAGTTGTGCTCGTCGACGTTCGTCGTCGTCGTCCGCCAGCACGTACCAGATCATCCACTGAGGCTCGCTGGCGGGCACGGTACGCCGGCGGAACAGGCCGCGCCGGGTTCCTACATTCTTTTTGCAATGAAAACACTGGTGTTTAGGAAACTGCAGCGACTGGACATAACTAGCAAGGCAGACAAATGAACAAATCTGAGGATACATCACACATCTTCATGGGACTGGGAGAGAGATTTTCAGACTTCAGAGAAAACAGACACTGTTAAGTCTGGACTAGCAAAAATGAACTATGCATAAAAAGGAAAAACAGCTCTAAATTATGATTCAGACATGCATCGTCAGATACAAGTAAAGAACTGCAACGGTGATGTGGCAGACGGTAACATGAACTGAATTTCTCACACCATCATGAATCTCATGCTTACTGGACACTTTGATCTGACACGGATCAACGAACGACAGACAGAGCAATCCTAATCTTTTAACTGTTGGGTCGTTTTCTCACGAAGAAATCCAAAATAAATTAGGTTCTTGGATCAAGCAGAGCGAAAGAAGTGGGGTCGTTGCAAAAGTTGATCCCAAGAGATGAAGAAAAGGCAATAATCACATTTAGTGGTTGTTGCAAAAATGGACGCAGACAGAAAGCATTCTGGACTGGCGCTACAAGTACCAAGTTTCACAAATCGAAAATTAGTGGTTCCAAGAACCCTGCTCCGCCCAAATCAATGCGACGAATGGGGACTTCGAGCTCACCGGAGTTGCAACTGGAAGTCGAATTTCCGGCGGCGCCTCTCTCGGGGGGATGGCCTGGACCGTCCAACGCATCATCGTGCTCCACGCGGCGAAGGTGTCATCGACGGTGACGCCTGTGTGCCAGCGGCGGTACCTGCCGTTGGCGCGGAGGTTGCGGTGCAAATCGTGGCGCACGATGACGTCGTCGGGGTCTCCGCCGTCCCACGCCCTGATGACCCTCCACATGACGGCGCGCGGGTCGAAATAGTCGCGGTCGCTCTGGACGACGCGTCGGCCGCGGTGGCCGCGCCGTGGCGCCGCGTCGGGCGAGACCGCGAGGTACCGGCCGTAGGCGGCGCCGTGGAGGAGGACGTAGGCGACACCCTCGTGCACGATCCGGTGCACCTGCCACGCCGCGTTCAGCGACGCGCGGCGCTGGCTCAGGGAGACGCCGACCCCGTCCTCGTCGGCGTAGAGGTACGTGCCGAGCTCGCGGCTCTGCAGCCGCACGTGCGTCCCGTCGGGGAAGAGGTCCATCGCCGGCGGCCTCCGCGCTGCGGTGGTGCGGCGGAGAGCGCGTGGCGTTTCTTCGCTTCTTGCCGTTGATGCGTGGGAGAGAGGAGGGAGAGGGAATAGCAGCGCAGCAGTTCGTTGGGACGGTTACGTTTGGGCGTGGCGGGGCGGGGGGCATTTGTAGGCGGTGGACTGGACTGCCCAGCCAAGGTCGGCTGCGCTCGCTCCACATTCCGCTGACATGTGGGGCCACCATCAGGCGGGGCCTGATACGACATATGAGGCGCTTAGCTGGCGCTCTAGCCACGGACATCCTGACGTGTGGGGGCCATGGACGCTGAAAAACCTAGTGAGTTCCCGCGACATCACTAATTATAAATTTCGGCGGGGCCTTACCCAAAAATAAAATTCATGGAGGTCAAAGATAATCGAGATAATAAATTATAAATATCAGACAAATTTAAATAAGATTCAAATTGAATTTAACTAAAATTAAACAAAATACTCAGGATATATCTGGCGGATAAAGAAAACCATGTGCCCAAGAACACAAGGAGCTAAAGATGGCCTTGCGCTGCAGGTCAACCGCGTCGAGCGTGTCGATGTGTACTAAAAGTCTATGTTACCGTGCCCTGCTTACTTTCAAGCGACTTCACATATGGAATCATTGGGTCCATAAGCCTGCGCCAAGAAATAGTAAGGGCCTCAAGTAAGAATTCTTACCTCCATGAGCTATTCCAGTGGTCTAATTTTTCTCCATGAACTCTAAAACTAAAATCTTCATTAATTTGAAACCATTTAAATTACCACCCTACTTGATAAACTAAAAATTTTGAGGGCAGTTTCATCCTTTTTATGAAAAATCTAGTAAATACATTTTTTAAAGTATGAAAAATGTCTCTAAGCTTCTAAAAATTCTGAGAAAAATCCTAAAGATAGATTAGGACACGACAAACTCAAATAAAACATTTAGAACTCTTGAAAATATCTCTAGAAGCTTTCAAAAATAGGTTTAGATCTAGAAAAATGAGAAATATAAAAAAATATGGAAAATTTTTAAAACATTCTAATTGATTATCTTAATGTGTTTTAAGAACTTTTCACAACAAAAAGAATGAGATGAAACATGCATAAATACTGAGCATGAATGCGTTCATTATTAATGCTGGCAGTGGCAAAAAAAATTTGGGAGGAGCAAAATTGTCATTTCGATAAGAACAAAATAACAATTTCATAGTTTTGTGACGACAATGGCAATTAGACAACCAAAAATGTCAAATAATGGCACATACAGGAAACAAAGAATTTTGATGGTACCGAGGGAAACCATATGAATTCTAATGGCTCTAAGAGAATCTAAAAAGGAACTGTCGGTACAGAAAGTGACCAACTAGTGAATATTTGTAGTTTTGCTATACGTCGTGATCGGAGGTGGCCTAACACTCAATGACACAGGATTTATACTGGTTCAGGCAACGTGCCCTATGTCCAGTTTAGGTCGGTCGGTGACTTTATTCCTGAGCCTAGGTGCTCAAAGTCTGTAGTGGGGTTACAAACGAGAAGGAGAAAGGAGGGGTGCACGAGAGGCCCGGTCGGGTCCGACTAGAAGGGTCGAGGGCGACCGGAGCTCCGCTATGAGCTAAGAGTCTAAGCGTGTGCTTGAGGGGTTGTGAGCTATCGATCTAGTGAATCTAAACTTGAAGAAGTCGACCTCCTTCGTTGGAGGGAGCGCATCCCCTTTTATAGATGAAGGGGATGGCTTTACAAGTGAGAGGGAGAGAGTACGGATGTTATTAAGTCTTCTTACCCACGCCGATGAGGACAGTGATGATGGTAGGTGCCCACAATACTGTTGATGTCACTGTAGAATGTCAGGTGTACAGGGGAGTCTGCATTGGCTTCTTCAGGAAGGGTAGATGTCGGTACCTGCAAAGTACTATCGGTATGTGAGGAGCCCTACCATGTGTACCAGGTATGGTGAATCCTGGCGCCCACTATCGATGCCTAGAGGCATGTGGGGGCTTTTTGCCGTACGGGAGTCCAACGGCGCCTACAATACTATAGACACAAATATCGGCGCCTACAATATTGTTTGTGTCAAGGCGGTTGTGGAGCACTGTTCCCGCAGGCGTACAGGGTATGGTCCCTGGTATCGTGGTTTGACTTGTGCGCTGCCTTTTCGTTTCGCCCTGGTTCCTTCCGAGCGGGCGTCCCCGGTCGGATGGCCCCAGTCGGTCCTGGTCGCGCCAGTCGGAGAAGAGCGGCAAGCAGGCTTCCTATGGGCCCCCGGTCGGAAACGCGGGGTCGGAGTAGGAAGCAGTGTCTTGGGCCAGGCCTTCGATCGGAAGGACCGCCCGGAGGCGGCCGGTGCCCGAAGCGAGTGCTCGGTCGGAGAGGTGGGCCGAAGAAGTTGACGAGCGGGCGTTTTGTTCTTTCGGGTAGACCTTCCGGTCGGGGACCGGAATGTCCTTCCGTCTGTCGTGTTTTTAGACTCTTGGGCCAGCCCATGAACTACATGCTATTTTTCTGGGCTGAGCCCTTGCGTGGGAGCCGGTCCCCGAGGGACCCCGGGTTTATGAACCCGACAGGAGCCCCCGGGCGATTTGAGCCGAATCATCCGGGGGATTTTTTGTCTTGACGGCGGGTGTGCGCGAAAGCACCCGCGGGTGTAGCCCCCGAGCCCCTGGGTGGTTCAGGCAAAACCGTTAGGGGGGTGTTGTTTCAATAGGCGTGTGTGCATGCTTTTAGTTTGAGACGGAATTTTGTTAACCATGGCGTCGTTGCGCAGCTGAGGCGGTTTCTAGGCATGGAGATGAGACAAAACTTGTTGATCCCGGCGTCGGTGCGCGCTGTGGATTGGGTGAGAAGGTTAGTTCGGGACAAACCCACGGATGGAGATAGCTCGGTTCGAACATGTCAGAGCTCACTGATCTTTGGCGTCGATGCGCGCCGTGGGATCAAGTGAGGCGGAGCCGTGAACGGACCCAGGCATCGGTGCGTGCCATGGATCGAGAGAGTTAGTTTAGTTAGTTCAGGAATCGGACGAGCCAGAGCTCGTGGATCCTGGGAGCGCAGTCAGAAGTGAAGCCATTACGCGAGTTTAGGAGTCATGGTCCTAGGTTTATTGGAGCGCAGTCGAAAGTGAAGCCGTTACGCGAGTTCGGAGTCGTGGTCCTAGGGTTATTGGAGCGCAGTCGGAAGTGAAGCCGTTACGTGAGTTTAGGAGTCGCGGTCCCAGGTTTATTGGAGCGTAGTCGGAAGTGAAGCCGTTACGCGAGTTTAGGAGTCGCGGTCCCAGGGTTATTGGAGCGCCGTCGAAAGTGAAGCCGTTACGCGAGTTTAGGAGTCGCGGTCCAAGGGTTATTGGAGCGTAATCGGAAGTGAAGCCGTTTGAAGCCGAAGCGTAGTTAGTTTGGTTAAAGATCGGATGAGGCGATGCTCGTGGATCCTGGCGTCGGTGTGCGCGCCGTGGGACCGGGCGAGTCGGAGTCGTGGATCGGCGTGAGTTTGAGGTCGCTATCCTTGGCGTTTATCTTGAGCCCCCGAGCCCTATCGGGCCTTCATGGGGGTCAATGTGAGTATTGTGCGTTACCCCATCCTCGGTTCCTCACAACCGGAGGGGCTGAGTTTCGTCGCCTGTCCCGATCGCTCGGGCTCAAAGACTAGCTCGGTGAGTTCGCTAACGGGTGTGATCGAGTGGAATCCGGGTCTGTTGTTCATGACGGGGTCGGCATAGCCCTCTTGTGACATTCCACTACTCCTTTACCTGCAACCCGACAGATGCCTAGGTCGTTCCGGAGACCGACCCGGGTGGCCTAACGGCCTCCCCTCGATGGAGATTCTGTGGGCCTGGCGAGAGGTTCAGGATCGAACAAGAAGGTTGAGATGACCCAGTCTGCTAGAGCGGGTGAGCGCCGCATGGTGCTCATCTACGGTTTTCTCCCTGGCTCTGTTGGTTGCCCATGTCGAATGAGGCAACCACCGCTTCGTGACGCAACACGGAGCGTTCTGATGCATTTCGCTGCACGTGCGATGCTTAGTTCCCGAGCCCCCGGGCGGTTCAGGGCCTGAATCATTCAGGAGGCGTGGGCGTATGGGATGAAATGCGCGTATGGATGTATGAATGATTTAATAATGAAATAGAGGGGGTTTTGATAGTGTTTACCTTGACGACTGGAGTGACGGGGCTCGGAGAGCTTCAGTCGGAAACGTCCGACCGGGACCCGTGCTCGTCGTTCGTGACGGAGTCGGCATGGCCTACATGGGGCGTCCCTTCGCTTCCTACCTGTGTCCCGGTGTTTATCCTGAGCGATTCGATCGGCTCAGGGGACCGGTTGGTCTCCCGGCGGAGATTTCATTTTTGGTCTCCCCAGGCCTGTCCTGGGGAAGTGGGAAGCCGCTCGTGTGCGGTGGCGCTTCGGTTCCTGTACCCATCATGTGGTAGTGGTTGATCATGCGGTAGTGGTGGGCCACGGCCAGGCCACGTCCCGTCTGATCAGGAGCTGTTCCATCGAGCAGGGCACGTCTCATCGGTGCAGGGGATGTCTCATCTGCATTAAATGGAAAAGAGAGAAATTCTCGCTCCGCCGTTCTGCCTTCCCTGATCGACGCGTCCTTCCTTAACCACTGTTTCCTTTTCTTTAAGTAGGAGCAGGGAGAGGGTTTTTGTGCCTTCTCTCTTCCTTTTTGCCATGAGCATTCCTGAGAGCCGCGGAGGTTTCTAGGAAAGAAGGGGGAGAGAGCAAGGGAGAAGAGAGGAACTCACTGACCCTTTTGTGATCCGGAGCGAAGATGTTGGACTGGAGGTCGTCCAACATGAGGAAGTCGGTGCTGGAGGCCTTCGTCAAGAAGGGGTTTCTGCCACCGCAGGAGGTGGCGCACTGGAGGGTCCCTAGAGGGGAGGAGTTCCCGCAACCTCGTCCCGATGAGGTGGTTTCTTTCCTTACCTTCCATGAGCGCGGATTAGGATACCCTGCGCACTGGTTCCTGCGCGGGCTCCTCAACGAGTGGGGTCTGGAGCTGCA